GCCTCTTTCTGCACTGGAATGTGCTGTAAGGTCTCCTTGAAGCATTCTCCATGGTGAATAACTCCAACTCTCTCAGCCTGTTTCCATAGTGCTCCAGCCCTCTGACTGTCCTCATGGCCTCTTCTGGTGTCTTTCCAACACATCTGTCTCCCGTTGAGGGCCCCAATAAGCTGAGAGAGTCCCTGCATGGTAGGGGGACGGAGCCCTGTCCCACATGTCATTTCAAAGCTCCACATTAAGGTTTCCAGCCTCCCAGCACCGGGGCAGAGTTAAGGTGGTTGGGATGCTTTATAGTCCCCTCTCCCTTTAACCTTCACTCCCAATGGATTGAAGTCACAGGACAGAAGGGAACAGAGATGATGCTCAGATGGATGGTGGAAGGACTAAAACTGGTCATTTTTGCACAAGGGCAAACCAAAGGGCRGGGAGAGCTTTTCTCTGCCAGAGGAGTATTTTAAGGCAAAATGCATCAAAGTGTTATTGAACTGGGACACAGAAGCTGCAGGCAGGGGCTGAGGAGCTCAGTCCAGCCCCTCTGAAGGGCTGGACCAGGCCCAAAGGAGCCAAGCTCTGACCTAGATGCTGCAAACCCCGCGGGCTCCCAGCACGGCTTTGCAGGGCTATCATCTGTCACGTCTCCAGTCCAGGAAGATCCCCAAAGCATGAGGATCTGCAATATTGGCTGAAAAACTGATGCACCACGCAGAAAAACAAAACCTGTGAAGTCTCCTTGGCCACAGAGTGTGGAGCAGRAAGGATTTTTTCCCAGAGAGGGTGAAAAACTCAAAGGCAACCATTCCTATTTCCCTCGAGAGAAGTCGACGAGAAGTCGCCCCCTCGCCAAAGGGGTGCCTCCTACAGCCTAAGCCAATTTAGTAAGAACAAGCTATGGATGCAAAGCCTCCGTGGAGTGAAGGGGAGAGCTCAGAGCAGGTAAAGGGTTAATGCAGCCAGACAGATGCTCCACTGGTGAAAAACCACTGGGTCTGTGTCCATTTCCTGCAGCGCCCAGAGCCCGGCCCTTTCTCCCTGGGTAATCAACTGGAAGTGAGCAGAGCYGGAGTAATCGCCGCACCCACTGCCCATCCGTGACACTGCTGGCGGGGCTGGGAGATGGAGCAGCTCCTTCTGGCCCGCAGCAGGTCAGTGCAAGCCCACAGCCGAGCCTTTGTGCCCCGCAGCTGCTCACAGGAGCAGGTGGAGCTGAAGGCATGAAGATGTAAGTAAATAAATSCTGCCCGAGGGTGCCCTGCACCACCACAGCACGAGCCAAGGAAAGCAGACACCTCTCTGCGGGCTGAGGAGGCTTCTCTGTGCAADGGGTTTCACCTCTGGATCTGCAGGGAAAGGACTTGACACCTCTGGAGATCAGTGAGGAGGAACAGAGTGCCTGATCCCAGCTTTCAAGGCACAGCTGCATCCTTCTCCTCTCTGTATTAACTTGATGCTGCCCTGCTTGGAGAAAGCACAAGGAGAGGAATCTTGGCATCTCTGGACAGCCAAAAATATCCAATAATTAATGCACAAGTGTGAGCAGATTTAGAGGATGCACTCGTTCTTGGTATCATCGTACCCCAGCATGAACGCTGTCTAAATCTCCCCTTGGGATCAGAGCCAAAGCCTTCTTTAAGGCACGGATGCTTTGTTATTAATCCGTGCAGCAACCAGGCAAGAGAGATATGGATTCGGTTTTTTTGAGGCATAATCAAAGACAAAATATCATCTCAGCTGGGCTTCATCTGCTTTGTGGCTGGTCTGGTGGCACACCGGGAAGATGGTGAGACCTGCTTGGCTAACACAGCCCTTCCCAAAGGAGACAGCAGGACAGGGTGTCTGGACCACAGAGTCCCGGCCTCCCATACTGACAGATGCTCAAAGCTCCCTATATCCCAGCCCAGCACCTTGGAGGAGAGGTGATGTGCTCTGATTCACACTCTGCCACCCTCCTCTGACGTGACACAGTTGCAGAGCCTYCAGATAAGCTTAAGATAAACTGAGTGAATTCACACCCAACACCCAAACAGCCCCTAGTTTAAATTGCTCTTGTGCCTGCCAGRAGCKCACCCCTGGGATGTATCYGTACTCAGCAAGCACATCCCCCCWGTGCCTTTGTTTCCCTGGGCTTTTATAGCCTCCTATAACAGCTCTCCATCCCTCTGAGCAGCCTCAGAGCCCTTCTCCCTGCACCTGCTCCAGGCTGAGTTAATCCCTCTCAAGCACCAGATCGCAGAGCCCCGTCCTTCCACGTTAACTCTTCCATACCCATGTCCCACAAACACTCTCTGCCTGCTTCCCATTGCCTTTTCTCAACACTCCCAGGGGCATCCAGGGCCAAAACAGCCCTGAACCCCCAGTCCCGACTATCCCAATATGATTCAATCACTAAACATAGCACAGAGTYCAGGCACAGAGTGCCCCACTGTACAGGCTGGTATCCGACCTAGGGGACAACCCCACAGCCTGAAATCCATCCTCAAGCTCTTCCCCCTCTGGCTGAGCACTTCATCCACCTCTCAGCTTGCTTTCGCAGCCGAATCTCAGCATGAAAAATGAGAATGAGCTCAGATCCTCCCTTAAAAGCTTTAAGCAGATTTAAGCTCGGCTGCGTGGGCTCAATCTGTCCAGCAGTGCCCTTTGTCACCTCCCCCAGCCTCCCCGCTAGCAGAGGGCTCCTCCAGTGACACACTCCCACATGCACTGTGTAGAGCACCAGCACATCCAGGTAAAGGAGACCTGGAGCTTCTCCTTTCCCTAAACATGAGAGCACAGCCACAGCTCAGCCCCCTTCAGCAGCAGTYCTGGGTTTCCATCTCCCCTCACCCCAGACCCTTGAGGATGTCCACAGCAGTTGTCCATCAGCAGCTGAAACCCCCTTGAACAGACAAATGCCATGGGGGACACGGCAGCTGGGCAGGGATTTCCCTGGGCTTRTGGCCATGTCAAAGCCCCTCCTRAGTCAGTTCATACAAGGACTGGGRTGCTGGTGGCAGGGAGCAGRGGGGCTGGATTCTGCCACAAACCTMCTGAGTGCCTTGATCATGTCACTTTGCCCCTGTTTCATGTGTCACTGCTTTGCAGATGGCATTATTCCTTCTGCATGTCACCATGGTGTCCTTACAACATGATGAAGAGGCTTGATTTCTGTCTGAGCAGGGCCTGCTACAGCAAGCCCTGCTGACTTCCTCAAAACCTGCTTTCCCTTTCGCTCATGCCATGATCCTTAACTCTGCTGCCRATGAGAAAGTTTTTCCCAACCAGTTCTGGCACACGGCTGCTGGCAAGCACCAGCCCCTGAGCAGCCAGCCCCATGCACCCAGCAGCACCTGTCCACATGCACCCCTTGCAGGAGGGGTTTAGACCTCAATCCTGCTCCCAAGTGTGAAGGGACCCTCAAAGACCATCTCTCACTCCCTCTTGGGTTTTACAACCCCACKGCATGCCTCATGGGCTGGAGCTGAACCCCAGATGATTCACCTTTAACAACTGATTAAATAAGCAGAAGGCAGCTGATGTTCCTGGGAAGGGCAGGGGGAGATAGATCCCACAGGACAGATGTGCCTGCAGCAATCTGGTGCACCGAGCAGGAGCACTTGGACCAGGCTCTGCACCTYCAGCCACGCCTGACTCTGCTGCTTTTTCCCCTCTCTAGTCCCTGCTGCCCCAAGGATGCTCCCAACAGGTGACACCTGCTCTCCACCTGCTCTTGCCTGTATCCCAGAGTTTGTTTCTCCTCAATTCCCTGTCAATTCACCCTGAGCAGCAGGGCCAGCCCGACTCCCTGCGCCTGCCTGGGGCTATCCACTGCCCATGTGCAAAGTGAGCGGTGAAAAAAGCAGCTCCCTGTGCTGCCTATCCTCCAGTACAACACCAGTTCAGCACACCTGGAACCCAGGCTGGCCCTGGCAGGAGGATCCCTCTAAGACAGAGATGGGATGGAGTTGAAAGGTGCCCTGAGGAAAGCCTGCAGCACGGTCCCGGCTGGATGCAGCKGAGGATTTAAGAGCATTCCCCGCGACACACTGAGCTCCCTGCTCGGCTTCCAGCTCCATTTGCCGTGGCTGCTCTTCCCACCAAGCCCGGAGCTAACACAGCATCCAGGCAGAAATGGTAACCATTTCTAATAAACGATTGGTGATATATCCAAGCAGGACACAAGGTGGATGTGCAGGGCCAGGCGTGCAGCCCATGCTTACCTGAGGCTACCAGCACGGGAGGTGAGCGACAGAACACCAGAGCCACGTCCAGTGGGACACCCACTGCTGGAAAGCACCAAGCTGGTGTCTCAAGTTCAAAATAACATTTTTCAGGGAAGGGAGAAAAGGATGAGATTTGGGAAACCCACATTCATAGCTCTGCTTGGAAACGCCAAAAGCCATCAGCCCCCTGCACCCCAGCAGYGAGTTAGCCTGTCTTGGGAGCGGGAGCTCTCTCTCGCCTCAACTTTCCACGACACTTTCTAAAGGCCCCTGCGTTTGTCTCAAAAAATGGAACAAAGAACAACAGTGAAACCTCAGAATATCTTCTCAGCGCAGAAATCCTACTCTCCAGCCAGCGCCGAGGCCTCACTGCTCAAAGTTTCTGTCCAGCCCGGCTCCACAAACTGGACTGGGGGGCAACTGCGGGGTTTTAACCATCYAGGATGCAACTTTCCGATGCAGCAGCCCCGAGCACCCCGACTCGCAGCACCCCCAAACACCAGCGCTCGCAGCAGCGCTTGCTGAAGTGCTGCTGTGCTCCGCGCAGGGGAGGAGGCGGGCGCCCGCTTCGGGCTTTTTTTCCCAAAAAAAGCCTTACACACACGCACGCACGTATTCAAACGCACACTCCCCCTCACCCGGAACGCAGCTGCCCCCCGGTTCCCAAAGCCACAGGTGCCCCGAGCATCCCCCGAGGACGCGGCGGGACCGCCGGGCGGGGCGCGGAGCCGTGTCCCCGCGGAGGGAGCAGCAGCGGGGCCGCGGAGAGGAGCCACCCCCTCCCGGGGCCGGGGGTCGCCTCACCTGGCCGGGGCTGGGGCTGCTGCCGGTGCCCGGTGCCGCTACCGCCGGTCCGGGCGCGCCGCTGCCCGCAGCGCTTCGCCTCCCGCAAGCACCGCCCCGACGGGCGGGCACGGACCGCGCCTGCGCCCCGCACCGCGCCGGGCTCCGAGCGCCAGCGAGAACCGGCACCGGGATAGGGACACGCCAGCGAGAACCGGCACCGGGATAGGGACACGCCACGGGACCGGCAATGGGAACGGGGATGGGAACCGGCACCGGGA